TACTCCCGTAAAGATTTACACCCTCGGAAACCCTGTACAGGGTCGCTATGGGTCGGAACCGACTCGACGGCACTTAACAACAACAACAACAAAATGTCCAAAGGGCATATTTTCAAGCCAGCCTACTGTGCAGAGGCACACTGCCTTTCATGGCCTAAGACTACCAGTTCATGGGCCTAAAGATCATTCCTGTTTAGTTTCTCTATTCCGTCACTCCACCACCATCTCTGTTTTCACCTCTTTTCTGCTCAGGCTCCCTGGCTCCTCTGTTCTTTCCTCTTGATGGTCCTAGGGTCCCCTGGTCCTGAGATGACAGATTAACTGCTCCCCCTTTAGTTGCACTTCTACATTTACAGTTGTGACAATCAGCATTAGAGCGGAAAACTATTACTTGAAATTGTATCATGAAGTCTTATATCTTGCATTACCAAACCCATCTGGACAGGAGGGAAATTATTCAGTTGGGTTTCTGGTTTACTCTCTCTCGGTTGTGACACAAAGCACCCTTATGAAACCTTGTAAGCCAGCCACTTCATGCCTTTATAACCCCCCAATCTTGGTAGCTGAAGTCTAAGTTTCCCATCCCTATCAGCCCAGTGTAAGGAGTTCTGGTATCGTAGTGGCTATGAATCAGGCTGCTAACCTCCGGGTCAGCAGTTCGAAACTACCAGATGTTATGTGGGAGAAAGATGAGGCTATCTGTTCCCGCAAAGATCTACAGCCTTGGAAACACTGTATAGGGTCGCTATGAGTTGGAACTGATGCCAAGACACATAACCACCCACCACCATCAGCCCAGTGTACTAAGCAGACATGCTTTACCTTTGATATGAAAAATCCTTCCCTATTTGGTTGGAATTTTGAGCAGCCTCATCCATATTCAAGAATCCAGTGGATCAGATTGTAGCAATTTAAGCTTGTTCCCTGTATCATACTTGTTTATTTTCATCTGGTCCAATTTTGGTCAGCAAGCCATCCAAGCTAGGCCCAATGATTACTATCTGCAAGTCGTAGAGTCTTGCATGCTCCCCCTTCTTCAGATCTGGTGGCTGCTTCAGTTTTAACTTTAACTTTGGGCTTGGGAGTTCACACATCACCAGGAACTTCAAACCCATCAGGCCATCCTTTTCTCTCTCTCATTCCAAGGTCATTGGGTGCCCATGGAATGTGGTAAACCTCAGCTTATGTCTTCTTTATCCACTCATAAGTAGACCAGGACAGTTGCCATCTAGCATACAGGACCATTCGTGTGTTGTCTTTGGGTTTGTCTTAGACAGGAGTTTAAGGGCTGGGTTTTTGTGCCTCGATGGCTCCAGGGCAAACAGCTTGTTTGATAATGTCACAAACAGTCTGCTTTTTTTTTTTTTCCCCTCTCCCTGTTGATATTTCTTTGAAGAAGTATCTTCTATTCCTCTAGCCATTCTGAATTGGTTTGCATGTCCTTCCAATTGGGAATGTCCCACCCCTGAAGTCTTGATGGGCCTCAGGTTCCAACTAAAAGGCCCCATACTTACAAGCTTTTTGTAATCATCTTCCCCACTTATCCTTTCTATCCCACTTAGATGTCTATATTACACTAGTAGGCAAGGGAACCCAATATCTGCTAAACAGTGAAATATCTTAACGTTATTTCCTCTCCTTTACCCATTTAGCCTATGTCTCAATCCTTATATCATACAGCCTACCTCTATTAAAATTTAGCCCATCTATATCTCTCAGTGACTTTCCCTATCTTCCCCATCCTTCTACGCTTCTCCCCCTTCTTGTGCACTGCCCTCCCGCTCCTATTTACTGCCCACCCAGTGTCCCAAGTTAACATATGTCTAGCCTCTGATCTGTGAGTTATTGTTCCTTCCTTCTCACCACTTGTTGTTGTTGTGAAGTGCCCTTGAGTCAGTTCTGACCCATAGAAACACTGTATAGGGTTTCTGAGGAGCAACTGGTGAGTTTGAAATGCTGACCTTGTGGTTTAAACCAACTTTTCAGTCCAGTGGCACACCAGGACTCTTGCACCTAGTAACCCTCAAATAATTATTCTTTTTGTATGGAAATATTTTCTTAAGTTTTTACAATAATGGACTAATGCATTTTCTGTCCTTTTTTGTGCCTAATTAGTTTCACTCATCTTTAAGTCCTCAAGGTTCATCAATGTTATACAGTGTTTAGCAGATTCATTGCTATTATTCAAGGAAGGATAGTATTCCATTGAGTGCATGTACCAGAGTTTGTTTATCCATTATTCCATTGATGGGCACTTGGGTTGTCTCTATTGTTTTGCTATCATGAATATTGCTGTGATGAACATTGGTGTGCATTTATCTATTAGAATTCTGACTTATATTTCTTGTGGCTATATACCAAGTAGAGGAATTGCTGGATCATAAGGTATTTCTATTTACAGCTTTCTGAGGAAGGACCATACCATTTTCCAGAGTGGTTGAAGCAATTCGCAGTTTCACAAGCAATGTAGGAGGGTTCCAGTCTCTTCAAAACCTCACCAATATTTGCTGTCCTTTGCTATTTTGAATGTCACACTGTTATTACTGTTGTGAGATGATATCTCATTGTTGTTTTGATTTGTATCTCTCTAAGGATAACATGTTTGGAAACGTGGAGGGTCAGAGAAAAAGAGGAAGACCCCAGCGAGATGGATTGGCATAGTGGCATCATCAGTGGGCTCAAGCGTGGCAACAATTGTGAGGTTGGCCCGGGACTGGGCAGTGTTTTGTTCTGTTGTGCATAGGGCTGCAATGACTCGGTACTGACTCGATAATACCTAACAAAAACAACAACAATGGCTAATCAGCACGAACATTTCTTCATATTTTTGTTTACTACCAGAATATCTACCTTGGTGAAGTGTCTATTCATACACTGTGCCCATTTTTAAATTGGGTTATTTGTATTTTATTTGCAGGTGTGCTGTAGTTTCCTATAAATTTAAGAGATTACTTTCTTTTCTGATGTGTTACAAAAAAAATTTCCTAGTCTGTGAACTCCTTTTTTACATTTTCTGCTGAATTCTTTATCTGTACATAAATTTTCTAAATTTTAGTATTTCCCAGTCATCTAGTGTGTTTTCTGATGCTACCCTGGCCTTGTTTTGGCTGATGGTATGGAGATTTTACACTGTGTCTTTCCG